TCAAGTCTTTTGTGCCACACACGTAAGTCCGTAACGTTGGCTTCTTTTTTGTTGTAGCCAGATATCACTTTGAAAAACATTCTACAAATGTCATTGTTTTGTTTCACACCCTCAGCTACCACTTCGTTTTCGCGTAACACACGAACTTTTGTTTCCTCGAAAACGACCCTGAATCCCTTGGAGGTGCACGCTCCAACAGAGAAGAGATTTTTCTTGACTTGTGGTACATATAAAACATCTTCGAGGCGTGCTTCTGTCCATCGTCCATATGACAGTTTGTTAATTAAAATTGTTCCGCGTCCGACTACTTCACATTCTTTGTCGTTACCAAGTGATACGGTTTCACCACTGCACGGTTGATAATTGAGGAACTATTCTCTTCGACTTGTGACGTGTTTTGAAGCACCGCTGTCGGTCAACCAAATTTCACTGATATCTTGCTGTAATAATTCTTTCGCGCACTCGCGAGATGGCATTGCGTTTTTCGAGCGCATGTCGGTGACACTGTTTTCGTGACATGGCGTTTCCAAATCATTCGAACTTGTGAAGAATGCAACGTTCGAACTGTTTGTCCTTGGTTGTTTACCCTTCTTTCCTCTTTGACACTCGTGCGAATAATGACCTTTTTTGTTGCACGTATAACACTCGACTTCACTTCTCGGAACGCTTTTATAACTTTTCGAGGCAGTATTCCCTTTGTCGAACGTCTTCTTTTGCCTCGTGTTCTGCCGCTTGTGGATGCAGCGAATGCGGTTGCCGTTTCGTCTTCTGCTGTAAGACGAAGTTCTTCTTTTATCAGTCGTTCAACTAGATTGTCCACAGTTTGGTCTGCTACGGCTACACTGTCCCATGCCGTCTTCAGCGGGTTAAACTTCGCTGGTAGACTCGATATAATTTTTGCCATGATGGCTACTGGCGACACGTTTTCACCCAGGTCTTTTAGCTGCATTGCCATGTTCTGTACTTTAGCCACGTGTTGTACTACAGAATCACTGGAATCCATGCGGTACTCATGGAACCGTTGCGTCAGGATTAACTTGTTTGTTGCTGACTTCTGCTCGTGAATTGCACTTAGCTTCTGCCACATTTCGGTGGCAGTCGTGCACACAAGCAGGCTCTTCATCTGACGATGTTCCATAGACGAAGACATAAGAAACATGGCTTTGGCGTTATCTTTTATCCAGGCTTTCGCTTCCGGCGTCTCTTGTTCGGCGTGCATGACCTTTGTTCCAGTAACAATATCGAGCAATCCATATGCCGTGAAAACGGACCGCATTTGAAACTTCCACGTTTGGAAATTCGAGCCATCGAACTTCGTGATATGTATATGATCTTGCTGATATATTCTCGTCTATTATAAATTTCTTCGCACACGCGAGAGCGAGAACTTGGGAATGTTCTAGTACACTAGAGAAGGTCACTTTATCACGCGTTCCACGAATGCCTGCACGTGTTAATTAATATCTCACTTTTGTGCGTGTACTGGACGCACTGGGCCCATAACCTGTTGAGATCAGGATTATTTAAGTAAGTGTACACGATTTATTGCAGTGAGAACTATAACTTTAATTAAACAAATTAACTACCAATACAAGAAAGAAAAGACTGACTGTGCGAATCGACTGATAGTTTCAACGGGACTGACCCACAGTATGATATTTTAAACGTTCTGAAAGTCTTCAGCGCCGCCA